CCACCTCAGGGAGAAGGATGGCACAAGACACCCCAGGGCGAAAGATGGTACATGACAACCCACCTCAGGGGGAAGGATCGCACATGACAATCCATCTCAACTTTATCCACTTGACGCATTTCCATCTTTAACTAGTTCAAAGACAAATCACTCATTAACATTGCACCTACATCAACGTCTGCGAGCGGTTGGTTTGGTCGTTGCCAGGAAGTCTCAAAACAGAACATTAAACACTAAATGTCTTATCGATGTCAGCTAATTCCAATTAGCAGCAATTATGTTGGGGTGCCAAGCTACCCATGATTGTGCAGGCAAGTCTAGCCATAGTCGAAGACGCAAATGTGCCGATCGACCAAAATCGACTTAAGACCACACATTTCTTGAAGCTTTCTTGCTGTGCAAAGCCGAGATAGCCCTAAGTCAAATATGCCAAGCAAATCCAAAAGAGAAAGTTCTGGGATTCTGCCAGCAACGAACAACAGTTACACCACAGGAAACCCAAGTAGTAAAAATAAAAGAAGACGTAAAAGTAGGTACAATGTTTTGAATTTATCATTATTATGGGAAGGGGTAAGGATTTAGTTCTTTTATGAATTCAGTCGATAGAATTTYAAGGCAGTCGATCAGAAAAGGATGATAGAACAAGATGAGATTTTAAACGGAGAAGAATAAAACATACATTTAAACAACTATTTATCTTCATTTTATTTTATCTTTATTTTTATTATTTGAGTTGTTTGCCATTTATTGAATTTTGTGTTTGTTTTGTTTCTATAACCTGGTCAGTGTGAAGAATAATTTTCAATCCTTAAAACACCTATTCATTTAAAACGTACGTTTTCCTGTATTCTTAACGGAACCGGCTTTCTTTATGACACAGAACACTATTTGACAACCAGAGATAACTAGCTAAAAACTAGTGTGAGCTGCGTCGGTGTTTCTATTGAAACAGTAATGATAAAAGGGTCAGATTATACTAACGTCTCGGACGCTAGTCTAGYCTCCCCCACATCCGCTTTCAGTGTCGTCACGCAACGCTTTCTCCCCTGAGTAGCTCAGGGGAGAAAGCGTTGCGTGACRACACTGAAAGYRGCTGTGGGGGAGACTAACGCTAGTCCTTCGTCGGAGTAAAAGAGARAGAGGTGGTAGRAAGAAGTGTTTGTATACTGAGAACAATGACAAAAGAAACAAAACAAAAACAAAAAAGAAACTATTTAACAACGTTTTATCCAGAACACTCATTTGTATAAAGATGCAAGACTAGTAAGTGCATATAGTCAAACTTAATTGGAGGAAAAAAACAATTTACAAAAACAAAATTTAACAATTTAAAAATTCATTGCACAACTGGTAAATTTTTAATCAATGTATTACCGTTAAGCGCAAATTTAATTTCCGTCAGTCGTAACTCAGCCTTTTTGTTTTCGCAATCCAAATTTTTTCTTTTTATGATTACATCCCAAAAAAATCTTAGGCGARGGCATATATCACCTTAGGAAATAACTCCCCCATCTAGTAATGAATATTCTATTTTTGGACTATATTTCTAGAATTAAAGGAAGTACCTTTTTTTACTTTTTTGCTTTGAATYTTACTTGTTTCTAGTCGTCTCGGTAACACACAGCGTATGGTATCACTTCCAGAATTAAGCGCTCGGAAATTGTGTCCACAGCCTAATATCCGTAAGAGCTCTCATTTAGTCGTCCTTAAATGCTCTTAAATAAGGCTGTTTCCAAAAAAGAGTTTTAAAAGGAAAAAGTTAGGTTTAGTGCAGCTGGATAGGTGCTTTCCCCGTTAGTGACTCCGTCGGTTCAAAASCTGATAAGACTAGTTAAAAACCTCACACAAAGCCCAATTATTTCGACAAATAATGAGCTAAAAGTCGAACTCTTTGTACAAGCAAAACTAACGCAAGGAAATTCAATCGAAGAGGAAATTAGTTAAAACATGCTAAAAACCAATATCATTATTTATTGGTTATTGTTTGTTTATGGCGAGTGCCTGAGAGTGCTTGCGAGTTGTTTCCGATACTTGATTGGTGAACGTYGTATTAATGCATACATCTTAAGACAATACGTAAAAGGGAAAATGTAAATGACAGGAAAAAAACCGAACTAGCTACTGATTATTCAACGTAGTGCGGGTCGTAAGTTGCCGTATGCTTTTYCGGACGAATCTTTTTCAACTTATTTTATCTGCTCATAATGTCTTACGAAAGACGACGTTCTCGTGCTGCAAGTGTATCAAAGGAAACTTCTCATCTGCCTCGAAAGTCAGGTGCTAAAAAAGGTTTGTTTCTGAGTGACAGGCTTTTTTAGACTTTGTAGGCCTGTGTATATATATATATTTATGCATCTTGCATATCATATTTAGGTAATCGTTAGTATTATTTATATTATCGGCAAAAGATTTCCAGCCGTGAATACGATTTGACATCGAAACAATGTGTTGAACGCGCGTTTTGTTTGCCATATCATTGTCACCTTCGTTCGCCACATAAAAGTCCATACAACTTTCCTTTATTTTTCATTTATTTATCATAACTCTTTAAAAAATCCTACGAATAAAATATTATTGTTCTCAGAGCACGGTACAGCCGACGCATATAGTTTCATCCTGCAATTTTACATTTCTAAAAGAGTATTAATGCGTAATATTCGAAGCCTTTCATAATTAAAAATGTTAGATATATCCAACTTCATTCCGAAATAACACTTTAAAAAAGCTTCATATAAAGGAACCACCGTGTTTCACTTCCAATTACTTCCTGACTGAGTTGAAAGGATATTAGCTGGGCAAATGTCATTATTTTGCAGATGTGCTATCATAATTTGCCCCCTTTGGCAGGTCTTTGGTAATTAAGATGACATTGTATTATAAATGTTAACCAACCGACTATTCCTCGAAAATTATTCCTTCGCGTTAAAGAGTTCCACCGAGCCCTAAGGATGTGAAAAATAATACAAGAAAATAATAAAGGAGCAATCAAAATGAGATCAGATTTCTTAAAAAATTGAACGAGAAATTAAGAGCGAGATCGTAAGATATTTTTTCAATTTGACATGGTTTATGGATGCTTCTTTTAAGGCTGGATAGGGGAATGGGAAAAGCTTGCKTGTTGTTATGCCGAATTGAATACGATTCAAGGCCATTGGAAGATGATTGTCATGCAAGGGAAAAAAAGATTTGGACAGAATTGATGATACACTCCATGCCCTTGGCAAACTAAGACGTGACATTATGGCGCACATCGTGTGATGTGGACTGCAAACTTTTTTTTTGGTGAGAATAGGATTACACAAGATTGAAGATAAATATYAATGAGCAAGACGCCACAGGACATGGTTAGATCAAGTAAATGAATTTGTAACGCTAACGACCTAACTACTAACGACTGGACATTATAATATCACTTTTATGCCTTCAGTGCGTACTAGTACGGATTCAGGTTTTACCGCTCTGAAGAACCTTGGAAGAAAAAGCAAGTTAAAATGAGATTCTAAGAAGCACGAGTGACTAGAGATGCAAGGAAAAAATCGGTGAAGTGCGCTGCTAATGCGTCGCCTCTTACCAATGCGACCCGTGTTTGATTGGACCGGATTTGATTGCCGCGCTTGCATTGTGTCGTACTCATATGTGAGTAAGTTGCTTGTTGGTTCTCTGGTTTTCCTCCCTACACGAAAATTGGCTGTCCAAATTACAATTTCATCCGAAATAAGAAGGCCAGATTGGAAACAACTTCCATGCTTTATCTGTTATACCCTCGTAAAACGACGACAAYTGAGGCGTAATGGGACGAAAACGAAGAAGAAAAAAAGAAAAGAAAGACTGAAACGAATAATGAGGATGAGAAGGCGGCGACGCATGAGGAAGAGGAGATGGAGAAATAGGGAAGGAGTAAAAAATAGAGAAGGACAACGATAAGAAAGAGATAAAAACTGGAAGCCTAATCGCATGTAATATCCCCTCGGCGTTTGAATATATGCAAATGGATCTTTTACAAGTTTTTCTGTTTAAATATTCACCCAAGCTGTGTGAGTTTATGATCTGGAAATTTTGGCTTCAAGCATATTCTCRATATTTTTTTTGTTTTATTCAATACGATTTCCATCATGAGATTCAAGTTGGTCAGGTTGCCTCCGGTCCGCACATAGATTTGGGCTTCCTGTGGTAACCATTCCCAGACTCCTCTCAGCTCACCTCCGCCATATTTCTTCTTCTTCACAGATCGTAAACGTCGAGAAACTACTGTTTATCTCGGGATGTTTAAAGCCAAAATACTCGTTCTTGGACCTTGTGAGGTATTTTAGACGTTTAAAAATTATATATTTGTACTCTCTGTTTTGTTTTTAAACGTTGTTGACGATTTCTTAGCGAAAAATGGGTGTCTAAAAGTTCATATGAAGACTGTGGTTATAGTCTTTAATACATTGTTTATCTTGTTGCTAAGCGACTTTCTACAGCTTTTTCGTTGATTCAGCTCTGTTTTTTGTCGTAGAGCGGAAAGACTGTTTTAGCTAACTTTCTTTCTGATGCAACTGAGACATCAGGAGGTGAATATCACCCGACTCAAGGAGTCAGGTATGACTACTCTTCCCAAAATCGTACAAAGTGTACCCTYCTTTATCTTCCTTACTTTAATTGAAATAGCTTAAAGATCGTCATTTCTTACACACATTTCACTCAATTAAGAGGATATATGTCTTGTCTTATGTATCATGAAGCGGTTGTTTTCCCTCACCAGGATTCTTGAATTCGAATGTAATGGGATAGAAATAACTCCCGGAAGAACTGCAAACTGTGAAGTGGAGTTATGGGATTGCAGTGGAGACCACAGGTAAACTGATCACAACAGAGATAATTCCAAGATATTTTAATACCGTTACCATAATTACCCAGCCAACATAGCACAAGATGCCTGTGTTTTTGGCTTCTATCAAATTGATATTAAGAAATACTGATTCATGAGTCTGTTGGAAATTTGATTGAAAGAAGCCACACAAAATAGAAAGAAAACAAAAGCAAAACAGATGCCTAAAATCATAGCTGTTTGTTAGGTAACTCRATTATAACTTTGATATAAAATGCTTGTGCAGGTTTCTATACTGCTATATTGATATGCTAGGAGCTGTAGAGCATGATGGAAACATGCTCCTATAGTKTTTATATCACAGTACAGAGACATAAGCAGCAGTTTTATATTGCTTTTACAAAATATCTTGTGCATGGTGCCTCTTACCTTTGACATAAATATGGTAAGCCAGCCAATCGGCATGTGCATTATATCTCAAAAAATTATGGAAGTGAGAAATTGGGTATACATTTTGAAATAGAATAAGATGAAATTGTTTTGATCTCTGTACGTTAGTCTATTGCAGCCATCAATAGTGTTGGTACTAGATCCTCCCAGACCCTGAGGATCTAGGACTGACATACGACTGTTGGGAAAAAGAATATGGGACTGCTTTCTTGGATCTAATTTTAAATCAGTTCGATCTGCAGCCTGATTGTGCTATAAGTTATTAGACCTTTAAATAAGTATGGTAAAGCATACTACATACAATCAAGAAGTTCAAATCACAACTTCCAATGTCATAATACTGTAAAATTCCAATTATGGACCCCCAGGTCATAATCCTAATAGTCTGCTAATGCAAATGTCCTTCCAGTTATAAGCCCTCCTAGTTATAAGGGCATCAAAAAACTCTTTAAAATGAGCATAAGCATAGGGATTTTGTCTGTTGTTCCTGGCATGCAGTATCATAACAATCTGGTTCAATTCTGTTGTAGATTTTCTACCTGTTGGCCAGCCATACAGAAAGATGCTAACGGTGTTGTCATAGTCTATAATCCTGACCAACCAAACCATGACAAGGAGTTAGAAACATGGTAGGAGTTTAAAACAGAACCCTTTTTCATTCATCGTTTTCCTGCTTTTGAGGGTTGACTGGGTTGTTGGGAGGGGGGTCTGAAGGGAGGGTTGACTGTTCTGTTGGGGGGACCTAGAGGAGGGGGCTGAGTAGTATTTACCGGACACCTTCAGTTAGGGTAGCATGGATGGAATACATTATTTCATTGTTTTCCTGCTAGTGAGGGTTTTGAGTGAGTGGTAGGGTGAGGGGGTAGCATTTTACCTGGTACCTTGCATTATGCATTACTTATGCACTGTCCTTAAATGTTATGTAGTTCAAGCCTGGGTCTCAGATTCAATTTTGAACTGAACTTCATATCCAAGTTGAGTTCAAAGCTTCTAAGATTAATTCTTATGCTGTCCCATAATAATGCATTTCTCCCCATTTTTTATGGTTTTCTAAATTCCTTGTCCTTATGCTCCTAGACAGAACCTTTGGGTAACAAATATTAATTTTGTCTTCTATCAAGGTACACACAATTTATTCAAGTCCAAGGTCTCAGAGATGCCCAGTGCATAGTGTTTGCACACCATAAACCTATGGCGCAGGACCGTATAAGAGCTCAAATCCGTAAGTTAGGGTGCCCTCACATTCCCTCTTCTACTATCTCTCTCTCCTCACCCCCTGGCTCCCTAAGCAGGTCATGGTCTAGTTTTAGTAAAATCAACTTATCTATCATGCCTTATATTGTGTCGATAGTACCCAAGCTAGACCAGAATGCACTAAGCTTGGTACATTTTTGCCATTGTGGTGTTGTTTCAGTACAAACATATGTTCACCATGACTTGTATGGTGTTGTTTGTACCCAAGTTAGACCACTATGCATGTTGTTGGTCAAAATCAGAAGGAAAAAACATTTTACCATTATAAAGAGGTTATTTACACTGCAAGTTTTTTATAATAAAAAAGGCAGATAATTTCAGGAGTGAAAGCAGCCATATTTTTTCAAGCCCCACAGCTTCAGGAGAGGTCATAATACACGGAAAATTGATTTTACCATATAATGATCCACATTAATTTATAATAGAATCTATTTCTCATGAGCTGAAAACCAATATTATTGGTTACATCCTTTTTACTGGTGGTGCCTCAGCTTTCTATATAAGTCAGGGACAAAAAGTCTATGTTATCGTCATCTGAGAATCTAACATTTTGACTCACTTAATCAGTGAATAACTAATGGCCAGGAGAAATCCCTATCAGAGCTGATTTCCATTTTCATTTCATTTCAACTCTCATTTCCATTTTCCCACAGCTCAAACCCTTGCCAATACAGCATGCGTCCACACAAACCTCGACGAAGACCCTGATGCAGTGCGGGAAGAATTTAAGAATTTCCTGGCCCATGTTATCAGCAACTGGACAGACAAGAGAGATCAGGAAGAACTAAGTATTATGAATAACTAGGTCACTCACCTTGGTATGCTTTTATCATGTCCTTTAGCCCCTAGTAGCCTCACAATGAAGCACTATAGGATGAGGTTATGTGGGCATKAACAATAGTTTTATCCAGAATTAGAATGATTGACCATGACTGGTGGATCAAGCRAAGGGTCCAAGGGGCATGCAATATAATTACTGTACGTCATGCTCAGATTTATACTATCATGTTGCTCTATACACCAAATTGAATTATGACGACTAATTTGAATAACTATTGTTCTGGATTGACTAGCCTCATGTTCACRTGGAAACACAAAAGCATTTTCACATGTATGAGATGCTACTCAATCCCACATATGAGCAACATTAGATACCATAAAGGAATTATATACTGGAAAAAAGGTTGTGTGCGAAAAAAATGTTCTAGTGAATTTGTTAATAGATTTTTTTACTCTTTCATATTGCAAAGGATATTATGTTGACTTTAAATTTTTTTAAATAATTATTGAATTTTTTCRATTTTATTTTCATCTAGTCTCCTACGCAGACRCTATTASTGTYGTCACRCCATACTCACTCCCCTWAGTAGCTAAGGGGAGTAAGCGTTGCRTGACGAAACTAATAGCAGCTGCGTAGGAGACTAATTTTCATCTATCACTTTTATCTTAATTGGGATCCCTGTGCTCAATCRATAACAATAGTTATYCWAATTAATCACTATATTTTGATTTGGTGTATACCCCTTCCAAATTTTTAGGAATTCTGGTCTGCTGTTTCTTTGGTGTGGCAAAGAGCCACACTATAAGGCACTTATACTCTTTTTAAGCCCACTCACGTGGAAACCTCTGTGCTTTCCTCTTCCTCGCTTCTTGGCTGGGGTTGCCAGCACAAGCAAAAGGGGAGAATTGCACCTAGTTTCCAGGCATGGTTATTACTACCTCTAGCYCCCTGCCATACCCCTTCAATTCCCCCTCATCAAGGACAAGGGAGTCTTTTTCATATGTTTTTTGTCATTCCATTCATGCCCCGTGTATTTACTGTAAATATGATAAGAAAATATCTTTAAAAAAATGTTTAAGTATTTATTAAACTTTCAATTTTAAGAAAAAAAAAATTCTAGTTTGAACCATTGCTGAATCTGAAAATAAGCAAAAGTCAATATCTATATTTATCTTTCAATATTGTCGCATTATCATCGTCATCTTCATTCATTATTACCACCTTCGTCACAATTTTAATTATTCGAACGTGTTTTGAATCGTGTTTGACTGTAAGTTTGGGTAGACTGGTTGGTGCAAAGAAATGTGGGCATGATATTGAGGACGTGAGTAAAAAACTTCGCCACCTTACCTCCACAATTCAATCTCACAATCCACGCGGTCGTTATATCTTCCTTTGAACGTGTTTTGAATCATATGTTTGAATGTAAGTTCGGGTAGACTGGTTGGTGCAAAGGATTGTGGGCATGATATTGAGGACGTGGGTAAAAATCTTCGCCACCTCGCCTCCATCCACAATCCCACAATCCACGCGGTCGTTATATCTTCCTTTGAACGTGCTTTGAATCATATGTTGGAATGTAAGTTCGGGTAGACTGGTCGGTGCAAAGGATTGTGGGCATGATATTGAGGACGTGGGTAAAAATCTTCGCCACCTCGCCTCCATCCACAATCCCACAATCCACGCGATCGTTATATCTTCCTTTGAACGTGCTTTGAATCATATGTTGGAATGTAAGTTCGGGTAGACTGGTCGGTGCAAGGGATTGTGGGCATGATATTGAGGACGTGAGTAAAAAAAACTTCGCCACCTCGCCTCCATCCACAATCCCACAATCCATGCGGTCGTTATATCTTCCTTTGAACGTGTTTTGAATCATATGTTTGAATGTAAGTTCGGGTAGACTGGTTGGTGCAAAGGATGGTTGGCATGAGATTGAGGACGTGAGTAAAAAAAATTCGCCACCGCGCCTCCACAATTTAATCCCACAATCCAAGCGGTCGTTATATCTCCCTTTGAACGTGTTTTGAATCGTGTTTGAATGTAAGTTCGGGTAAACAAAAATCGATAMTTTAAAAAGGTTCAAGTTCTCCATCCAAGATACCTAGCTTTGACATCCTTCTAAATTAAAATAAAGTAAACTCAATGGTATTATAAGTCAAAGAATGGGAGATATGGACGCCAGAATATTAAACGACTTGAGTGTTTGGGTCAAAAAGTCTGCAATATGCCTTGAAGTGTCTCTWAAGGGCTAGACCACTTGAACCAATACAGCCTAACCATTATTACACCACTTGGGGTCTCAATTAATTCTTCAGCGTTACTCCCATGACATAGCATAAGTTAACAAAAATCCTAGTCTCTTGGAGGCGTACTTTTTTTTTAATCCGAAAAAAAACCAACATTGATTCGTACTAAAAAAGTAAATTCGTTTAAAAAAACTGAATACTGTGTTCTTGGGTATAATGTAGCTGGCATGTGTTTTAATCAACAAAACTCTTCAAATTAATTGCATAAATTTTAAGGTATTGTTTTACATATTTTCCCTAATCTATCTAAAAATTTATCAATAAACTTTTTGGAGGTATTTTCAGATTGTAAAATTTTGAAAATCGAAATTTCGTCTTCGTTGTGGAGGTATGTCTTGTATTGCCTCCAGCAAAGGTTTTCTCGATTTTACGCAATTCACACTCCTAAAAAAATCATAYATTTGCGATTTTCAACCTTCTTTCAAACTCAATAGTTTTAATGATTTTAACATTCTCTTTCCATGGCAATTATTTTCGTGTTTTAGTTGAAATCAAGAAGAGATTTTCACCCATTTTTCAAAGAAAATTGAAACCTTTCCAAGAGTGAATAAATCCTTGTTTGTCTCTGACAAAAACTCATAAATACACCTACTCATTATTTCTTGGCTGTTAGGGCATAAAYATAGAGCACTTGAGATTCGAGAAGCCCTTGAGTCGTTTCAAGGACTTGAAGACTCGAAGTCATTAATCACCCCATCTTGAATCTCTTCAAATTTTCAAGGGCTTTCAAGTGGAATGGAGCTTGTCGATCATCRCGCGAATCATTCATTTCACCCAACTATCCATTTCAGTCTTCAGTTTGTAACTTTAATTTAGTCGTAAAATTAAGGCTTAATTTTTTCCACGCAAGAAATATCAAAAATTAGCAAACCGTTTGAGAAACTCAATATGCAGGTGTCATTTTATGGTTTTTAGGGAATGGTTATTTCGTGTTTATTGATTTTATTTAATTTTGTATTGATTGAGAGAGTGACAACGGCTTGCCTCGAGGCGTAAAGATAATGAGGTTATTATTGTTAATATTCTTAARATCAAATGGAGGACGGCTGTATATGACAAAAGAGCGATTTGGTTCAAGAAAAACAACTTGATTCTCAGTGTCGCTGGAGCTCTGAACCAAAAACTAGTAAGCCGCGTCGAGACGATGTTTAATTAAAGGAAAAAGACGAGAAATTAAAAGAAGCGAAAGAGGGAAGCAAGGGAGGATGGATGAGAGAAAAGGAAAAGGAATGGTTGTGAATTTGTTTGGCAGTGAAAAACGTCGGTAAGGAATGGGCGGGACATACTATGTACTTATTGACTGAGTGGGAGGGCTGTACGCGCGCTCTTWAAAAAACCTTCGGGAAAATGGCGTGAGCAGGGCCGTACGGCTTCGAGCGAGCAGGGCCATACGAATCCKTACGRCCCTGCTCGAAACCTGCGACYGTATTGACATAATTTGCAACCGCGTACGGCCCTCCCACTCAGTCAATAAGTACATAATATCACACAGGACGTTTGCATGATGGCGTCATTTGATTMCCAYTACCATAATGCTTCGCGAATTTTCTTTCTTATTTAAATCCTTATTCCCTCATGAGAATAGTAAGACAATTGGTGCTAATTAACTGAACAAAAGAAAGTGTGCAAGGGAGTCTGGTAGTAGAGGTCAATGACGCCATCATGCAAACGTCCTATTGCACGTTACCACTCTTCRAAGGAAGACTTTGTATTGCATCAGGATTTTGGAGCTGAATTTTGGGACGTGAAATGGCGAAGATTGGTACTCCTATTTGGATCGTTTTTGATGTAACAAGCTTTATTGTATTCTGAATTAGGGTTTTTGTTTTGTCTCGTATCGTTTTATATCTCCAAATTCATTATGCTTGGCTATTGTTTTTTATTGTCTTCATGCCTCATGTGCCTTGCAACACCAAGAAAGATGAGTCTTTCTTCGTGTTACAAGATGTATTGTATTCTGGGTTAGGTTTATCGTATTACAGGGTATTGTTTAGCTCCGAACTCATTGTTCTCGGCTATTGTTTTATTGTCTTCGTGGCTCAGGTGTCCTGAAACACCAAGAAAGAGCCGAAAGAGTCATCTATTTACGTAGCTCCAAGACATTCATCTATTTGAAATCTTACCAATGTGGCGCAGAGTGGCAAATTCTGTGATTAATCGTTGCCATCATTTTAATTCGCTATGTATATATTTATACCAAGAGAAAATGAKTTAGTTCATTTTCTCTTGTTTATACCTATTAGACCAGGATCTGATAACATTTTGCTGGAGCTCTGGTCCGTAAAGCGGATATGGAACCACATCACAGTCGCATGAAGTTTAAGGTCTTCGTGTGGGGTTGTTTTTACGTGGGTGTGGTCATTGATGGGTCGGGGTACATAGATGCACGGAGGGTAAGAGGACTCTCCTGATGATTTCGAAACTATCCTCTGCAAAACTAACCAATGCAACTTGCACAGACAGGGACGACGGAGCAGTTTTTTGATTGGGGGGCTCAATAGCGACATTGCATGGCAAGGTGGGGGTGGGGCTGAGTTTAGTGAAAATGTATTAAAATTTCACAAAAAGTGGGGGGGGGGGGGGTGTAAGGCCCCCCCAGCCCCCCCGGTTCCGCCGTCCTTGATAGAATAGTCACCGATGTCACCGCTTTCTTCTTTAGCTGGCTTATATCAGCATCCAATTTTGGAAGATAATTTCTTCTAGGTTGAATTATATGTGAGTACTGCCGTGCACCCTTAAAGCTGAGCATAGACATAATCATAAAGAGTCGTGATTAGATGAAAATCCATTATGTAATATTGAGATCCAAATTGCAAATATTTATCAGCTGATAAGACGTAGATAAAGATCACTTGATTCATAACTAATGCCTAGGTATTAACCCACTGACTTGGGTATCAGAACTGAGATGGTATGGCCATGGTATATAATGATTAGGAGGCGAGGACCCGACTGGCTTCATCCTATGAGTATATCGAGATCGTCCGGCTTAATTCTTTGTTTCTTTGACGAGGGTAGCACTTCATAGCCAGTGCCGGACTAACAAACCCGTGGTCCTCACTCCATGATAGAATTGTAATTTTGAAAATGATAGTTTTACGTAGCGAGGAATTTAAAACCCGAGAACTCGAAGCTCAGGAGAGAAAACCAACGAACAAGGCAGTCTTGTATAATAGCGAGTCCGCCGATCGAACCAAAGACCACCGCGACGRTGAGAGGCGGCGCATTAGAAGCGCACATCGCCTGTGCTTCCCATGGTTGAAAATACATCCTAGCTGATAAGGTCCATTATTTTGCCATCGATAACTAACTACGTCGTACCACGTCTTTAATTTCGTTTAGCCAGTAATCAAACAACTCGCCATTCAAAGTACTAACATTTGAACTACGAGAGCATCTTAGAAGACATTTATCARGAGAATAAGACATTTGGGGATTAAAACGCGGTTCAAATGAGCAAACAGCTTTTAGGCCTGTCCGAAATTGTCTTTACCAATCATAAATGGGATTCTTTCCTGTTACCTTTGACTAAAAGTTTTCCTAATGACTTCCTTTTTTCGTATGATATGGTTGTTTCGACCGGGTATGTCGGTGATTGCACTGTCGCAAGATCACTTGTCGCTACCTGTTTGACGATCTTTATCTCTGCACAGTGAGAATTKATGTCCGTAGAGGAAATTCAATGCCATTTTTGTTTTTAAATCATTTAAAGTTTGTTTTCATTTGTCAAAGTAAAACARCCGCTTTTGTAAGGAGAATGGCAACAACATGGTGGACTAGTAATCTTTCACGCGC